AGACGGCGGGCATTAACCATCTTCAACACACCCAAGAGCACTGCCGAGAAGAGTACATAGTCCTTCCCACCAACACTCCATTGCCAAACATGTTACCAACATCTTTGCCAAAACATCATTCCAAGTATCCTGACCTCCACAACCCGACCATCAAGAACATCACCAGTAGTAGCATGGACAGCCTCCATCCTCTGCAGGGGTTTAATAATCTCTTGCCCTAAATGACCTGCAACAAGTTATACGTGGGCGAAACACAAGGGACTCCAAACACATAATTCAGAAAACCAATACGCAAGCAGGTTCTGACGGACACAAGGAATGCCTGCGTACAAACCGTAATTCACCACAACACTGATAAAACTACAGAACTAGACTTATCGCCACAGAGACAAACACTCTCTATCGAGACTCCTGGAAATAATTCACTATTTCGATATCCGACAACTTCAACCAGAATAGTGGTTTCTATAACATAGCTGAACCACTTGCCAGAAACTTCTTCATCGCTATCCCACAATAAGAACATGTAAGAAGGTTGCTCACAAAACTTATCCAGTCTCCTTTCCAAGCTACCAATTTTAGGGGACTCTATAACCCCACTCGTCATCATCAGGATGCAGCATTCTTCACTGGACCTCAGCATTTGACCGGACATAAATACTCGCGTTCCTTCCACCCCAGGTAGTTCTGTTTGTGACTTGAAAAAGCCCACTGTGTGGGCGAAACGTAGTCAATAAAGGATCACATTATACTGCATTTGTGTTTATATTTCCAACCTTTCTTCTTATGTTCTCAGTGATACAAAATCCGAAGCACTCAGCTTAGGTCTCAAGTTTGCTCCTGGCATACGGAAGCCTAATTGCGAGTTAGACACAGTGATCTCGTCAAAAAACCATTTCTTCGGTGACTCTGAGTTTAACAAAGGTTTCATACAAGGACTTATTGCAGCTGCAGTTTCTGAACCTAGTCGTCCAGTCATTCCTCGTCGCTACATCCAGGCACTCAAACACTTACCTACCAATAATGATATTCTCATCACGCAAGCGGACAAAGGAGGAGGAGTGGTCATCTCAACCGTACAGATACGTAGTAGATGCAAGATTTATTGAACGACGCCAACACATACGTTTGCAGACATGGAGGAAAGAAATAGATTCCTTTTCTTCAGTATGACCGCAGTATACTCGGAAATCAGAAGAAGGTTAAAAAGTTCTTGCGCCTTTATCCCTCAACCCCAAGTCAGCTATGGGACTTTATGGGTTTACCGAGACCCACAAACCAATGTTGCTATTAAGACCCTTACATCTGGTATCGGCAGGCCCCTCACAGTCTGCAGGGTTTTTGGCGGATATTTTTGTCAAAGCTCTGGGTACAATCATGTTCAGGCTCATCTAAAGCATTCGGGTGACCTCCTTAACGTATCAGGGATCTCGACAGAGTGATAAGACGCTTGCATGTTTTGACGTGATGCTTATTTCAACCAATGTGTCCCAGTTGATCAAGCCATTGATCTTCATCGCAGGTGATTAAGATGATACAGAGTTATACCTGTACCCGCCAGATTTTGTGAGCCTTGTCGAACTTTGTGTTCGTTATAAACTGTTTTAGTTCGAGGGTCAAGAAGTACAAACAACTCTTCGGACTAGCCATGGGATCCACCCTGAGTGCGGTTCTTGCCTATTTATATATGGAGGACCTGGAATCAAGAAGGTTCCTCACTAAATCCCTCGTTCAGTTACTTGGATGCGGTACGTAGATGATATTTTCGTCATTGTACCCAAAAATCTTGACGTACAGGGCATCCTCAACACCATCAACACTGAACATTAAAATGGTTTAAAATACCGACAGGTTGTTAGGTAAGACACATATGCAACAGTTAGGTATCTTTATTCCGAAACGTTTCGCCTACACAGTAGGCTTCTTCAGTCGAGTACAGGAAAGTTGATAGAAGCAGCAAATACTTGAAGACGATGTAATCAAGTCAACCTTAAAGTTTTTTGAGGTGGTCAGTCCTCAGTCTGGAGAAGAGCCATTGTTCATTAGTAGGGAACATATGGAGATGAAAGTTGTGTATGTTATAATGTTCGCAAGACCGTAGTCTGGCAGGGTCTCAATCCTTGCGATGACCGGTCTCTGGCTCCCGAGGGAGGAATGGTTTTACATGATGCGACATATGCTGTTCAAGCACTCTTTCTGGTCAGTTCAACTGGTGATGCATCTCATAAGCGACGTAATACCGTATGTACTCCTAATGTGGACACTAGCGAGGAGGAGATATGTCGTTATCACAGGTAACAGCTTGTTGGTTCGTTGACTCCCATGGTACACTAGTGTGGCCGCAGTCATCTCTGGTCCTTTTCGGGAGAGGGGGAATCTCACTCCTAGTTGCCTGCGGAGCGTATCAGTAACTTCGCACTCAGAAGATAGTGTGTTAGGGGCCGCTGGGACAAACGTGACCTGACAGTTGGCACCTCTCACTCTCAGCCTTGTCTACCATCATCTTGGCTGTGGGAAAGCCCAAACGAAGCGATAGATGGCGGTACACTGCGCTCTGGACCAGTTCTTCATATGGAGGGGGTTCTCCCTGAGTCGCTGCTCGGATTACCACTGTTGAGATGGGGTATCACCTAAGACCTCACCCATAAGTTTCATGGCTCTGGCGCCACTGTTTGGATCTGTGAGGCTGATTGGGACAGTAATCCAACATGTGGATTATAGTCTGTTGCTGCCTTGGCTGCATATCTGCGCCTCAATTCCCGGATGCCAGCATGGCTGGGATCCAGTTCAATGTCGATCTGTTACCTGAACTTCTAAGGCTGTCCTTATGCTCAGGATCGATGTGATGAGTGTGAACATTGTCCTGTGGTTGAGGATGGAGAGGGCATTGATTGCAGACGTGGAATCAAACATGTATGACAGGTCGGAGTCGATGCGTAGGGCATGTGCTACATTGCCTGCTGAATCGCACCAACACAGCTTGAAGGATTCGTGCAGTGGGTCAGGGAGTCTCCCAGCCTTGTGTGTGGACCATTGTGGTACCGTCCAGCTGCTGATTCTTCCTGTCAGGGTCGACAGAACATTTGTGAAATACACAGCAACATGTGCTCCACCTCTGCCAGTCCATGCTTGTTCAGCATGATTGCTGAGTGTCTTGACTGCAGAGACGCTTAGAGAAGGGTAGATGCATGATGCAAACAGTACGCTTGATCTGGGCTCCAGGGGGTGGTGGATGGTCCAGCATCAGGGAAGGTCACAACTATTCTCAAGGAGTAGTTGTATAGCAGCGTTCCGCCCAGCAGCACAAAACGAACGAATCCAGGAGTAGTCCGTGAAGAGTGTGGGATTTGAGACATGGTTGTCAATATCCGTCTCCTTTAGTTGGGGTACCTTGCTGCCTAGGGAAGAATCGTGGCCACTTTGCAGGCGTGTATGTATCCCTTACTCTGACAGCCAAGGAAGGAAGCCTGGCCTCAGATCTGAGACATACTTGTGTTGGTCCAATGGGGGCCCCAAGCATAGTTATTATCGACTGATTTTGTACGACCTCCACTCTTTTGCCTGCTCTGCGGGAGAGATGAGCTAAAGCCGGTGCACCCGTAGTCAATGAGGAGCGTATAGCTTGTATATAGTACAAGCGAAGTCCATCTTTGCTTTCTCCTGACGGTGCTCGTCATGGCTCTCATGGCGTGAGTCTGCGTAGAGCCCGGACCTGACATACTCGGCCTGTTTCTGAAAGGTCAGCTGTTTAATCAATGTAGATTCCCAAGTACAGGTAGGAGCCTGTCACTCAAGTTCTATATCCTGAATAGGTAATCTATTTCACAGGATCTGGTCCCTTGAACATCATTGCAAGAGATTTCTCGGCCGAGATCTGAGGCCTAGTTCCTTGCAGACTGGTAATTAGGTCCAAAGCTCTCTGAGACTGTCGTTCTAAATTGCCTTTCCCATTCATACGAGTGCAAGATCATCAGCATAGCTGAGGAGCGGTTGTACCACTATGAAAGTGAAGGCTCCTCAAGTTCCTCATAAGGAAGTTAAACAGGGTAGGACTGAGCACAACCTCCTTGTGGGTACCGTTTTCCCAGGGATTTAAAGGAAGCGAGTAGTGTCCTGAAAGCTGACACAGGCCTGCCTGCACCTAAGGTAGACACTACCCAGGCCAGGGGGGGCGTCCTATGATACCTTCCGAGCTTGTATGCCCAGAATTGCTGTGGGCTGGCTAGCTCAAATGCCTTATCAAGGTCGAGGTAGACGCAATACTAGGTTTTTTGTTACTGTCAGCAATCTGGCCTTAGTAGAGTGGTAATGCACTTACTGACCATCCTTTGGAGAAGCCAAATATGAGATAGATGAGAGGGTACAAGTTCCATAGGAGGGGTTTAACACCTCCTCTCGCGGTCTGGTAAGCAGTGGTCTGCGATATGGGTCTCATACTGCTGGGTCCTGGGGCTTTTGGAATTGGTACGATTGTAGCTTTCTTCCAAGATGCTGGAGTGTTCCTGGCCGCCACGGACTTGTAATGACGTTCTAGTATGGCTCATTCCATTGCCAGCCGTGCGATCATGGAGTACGTCACACTCTCGATGCCGGGCAGTGTCACGAGTTCTTAATGGCACGTCGGAGTTCCAAGTTCGTGAGGTCTACATCTGTCCACATCTTCGACTCACATGCGTTGTATCGTTAGCTGGCGCTGTGCAGAAGAATCCGCTGTATATTCCGGATGTCCTGTGGGAGCAGAGTGGAGGCTCCCTGGAAGTTGAAAAGCTCCCTAGTTTCTCTGCTTCCTGGGATGGGTTCGGGTAGTTGCTGGTGGCCTCGGCTTGCTCTGCCCGTTGGCTATGTGAGCTTGCCCATATCTCAGATAAGGTGGGGTGATGCCCGAATGTGTTTGAGCACCACTCCAGCCATTTCTCAAAGTTATTCTCTGAGAGAGATTCTGGCGGGCTGCTGCACAATGGCTCTCAGGGAGTATCCTGTTTCTCTGCCGTAGGGTTTACGCCTTGTATAGCTTCCTAAAAGAGTTGATGCGGAGGTTCTGCTCCTTCACCTCGTCGTTGTAGACCACCAGTCTCTTTTGTGGAGTGCGTCCTGCAGACTTCTTTGGAATTTGCACACTCTGCTGCCTGGATGAGAAACAGTGATTAGCTCCTGTTCAGCGTTATATGACAGTCTATTCAGAAAGAAAGTATGTGGAACACCAGTCATGAAGATAATCCTGGGAACACCTTCAGTTGGCCCCTCTTTACGTCCTCTAGGAGGCAGCACAACTGTGGAGGCCTGTTGATGTGAAGGAGGTGAATCACTGCAAAGGTGGGGTCACTGACAAGGTGGTGGATGGGTTTCCCATGTGGCTCCTGCTGCGAGTTGTCTGACCCGAAGTAAGTGAGCAGCCCAACAGGTGTGTGGGTCTCCAGTGTTAGCAACTTACTCTGGAATATCGTGTAGGAGCATTGCTATGTGTCTGCCAGCAGCATTGGTTGCTGAGGTCTGTACCAAGATACCCTATTTTATACCATTTTAATGTTCAATCTGTCAGACATTGCAACACAAGGGTATCTTGGTACAGACCTGCTATAACTTCGACAACCTCCACTAGTGAGAACGGCTGGATTTGAGAGGGACCTGACCTCCCAACATCTGAGTTCTTACCTCTTCTAGTGACCTATGTCTCACCTCTTGGCGCTATATTAGGCTCCATCCTGTCACTTCATCTCCATATTGTTTCATACTATGGAACAATGCTCTTCTCCAGACTGAGGGACTGACCACTCAAAATTTAATGGGGATGGAACTGATTACATCGTCTTCAAGTATTTTTCTGCTTCTATCAACTTTCCTGTTCTCGACTGGAAGAAGCCTACTGTGTAGCCGAAACGTTCGAAAATAAAGATACCTAACTGTTGCATATAGTGCTTATCCTAACAACCTGTCGGTATTTTATACCATTTTAATGTTCAATCTGTCAGACACTGCAACACAAGGGTATCTTGGTACAGACCTGCAATCAACTTCGACAACCTCCACTAGTGAGAACGACTGGATTTGAGAGGGACCTGACCTCCCAACATCTGAGTTCTTACCTCTTCTAGTGACCTATGTCTCACCTCTTGGCGCTATATTAGGCTCCATCCTGTCACTTCATCTCCATATTGTTTCATACTATGGAACAATGCTCTTCTCCAGACTGAGGGACTGACCACCTCAAAACTTTAAGGGTGATGGACTGATTACATCGTCTTCAAGTATTTTCTGCTTCTATCAACTTTCCTGTACTCGACTGAAGAAGCCTACTGTGTAGGCGAAACGTTTCGAAATAAAGATACCTAACTGTTGCATATGTGTCTTACCTAACAACCATCAACACTCTGGAACCTACTATTAAATTTACTCTAGAGGAGGAGAAGGACAACCAGTTACCTTTTCTCGACGTTCTCTTACGCACAGGGAAAAGCCTACCTTCAAGAATGATCTACATTTCTTCTCTCACCATGACACAAGAACTAAAAGAGGGGTAGTTATTGGCTTCTTTCTGAGAGCCTACAGAATTTCCAGTACGCAGTTCCTCGAAGAAGAATGTACATACATCACCAACTCTTTTAGTTCACTACACTTTCCCCTACACTTCATACGTGACTGCAGGAAACGTGCAACACGTATCCTCAGCAAGACCAACACCTATCAAATTGAAGAAAAGCCTCCAAGTTACATCGTTTTACCGGTCAGCAACGTTGCCACTAATGTTTCAAAAATGTTGACAGAAAACTGGCTAAAATATCTACCAGCTCTTCAACTACTATTAGGAACCTGATACAAAAACCCAAGCATGATTCTGGCACAAGTGCAGGAATCTACACTATACCATGTGGGGGTGTGACAAAGTATATGTAGGGGAAACAGCCAGAACTCTGGACATTAGGATAGCAGAACACAAAAATGCTTGCAGAAATGATGACCGCAAAAACGCATGTGTTCAACATTTGGGGCGATGTTGTACACCTCATGAAATTCAATGAAGCTAAACTAGTTATTAAAGAAGACGACTTAAGACGGAGAATATGCATTGAAGCTGCATTAATTTCTGTCAGTAACACTATAAAGCAAAAATCCGGTAGTTACAGTATTTCAAAATTACTAAGCAAGAGGATATTACCCATCCTGGGAACTGGTGTTACTTGATGCCAGCAGGTCCCTCTCTTGCCTCACCTCCTTAGTTCCATTACTACTACTACTACTACTACTACTACTACTACTACTACTACTACTACTACTACTACTACCACCTCTACCCACGCATCACCTCACCTGACTCCCGCCACTATATATATGTATGTTTTCTTAGTTTTCTCTGTATTAGGACTGAAGAAGCCACTCGTGGCGAAACGTTTCCTTTAATAAATGTCCTGAACTGTACATAAGTGTCTTTTTCCATATGTCGTTTATGTAGATTGTGAACAGCAGGGGGCCCAACACTGACCCCTGTGGAACACCGCTCGTGACGCTTCCCCACTCTGATTTCTCCCCATTTATGCAAACTCTCTGCTGCCTATTTGTCAACCATGCCTCTATCCAGGAAAAAATTTCTCCTCCTATTCCATGTGCTTTAATTTTCCTCAATAGTCTTTGATGTGGGACCCTGTCAAAAGCCTTACTGAAGTCCATATACACAATATCATATTCATTACCATGATCTACCTACTCAAACACCTTAGAGAAAAAAGTTAATAAATTCGTAAGGCAGGAACGCCCCTTTGTAAAACCATGCTGAGATTCGTTGATTAATTTATGCTTTTCAAGGTGGCTACGAACTGCCTCGGCAATTATTGATTCCATAAATTTCCCACTATGGAGGTTAGGCTTATTGGTCTATAGTTCGAAGCTAAGGACCTGTCACCTGTTTTGAAAATAGGTATCACATTTGTCATTTTCCACTTATCTGGCACCATGCCAGTTTGTAGTGATATTTTGAAAAGATTAGCCAAAGGTGTGCTAAGCTCCTCTTTACATTCCTTTAGAACCCTTCCATACAGTTCATCAGGGCCTGGGGATTTGTTAGGTTTTAATTTGTCTATTCGCCTAAGGACCATGTCACTTGTGACCCTAATCGTGCACAGTTTATTATCATCCTGTTCTACATAATTTATCATTACTGGAACATCGCTGGTATCCTCCTGTGTAAAAACTGAGAGGAAGTATGTGTTAAAAATTCTACACATTTCCTTATCACTGTCAGTGAGCTGACCCGAGGAACATTTGAGTGGGCCTATCTTGTCCCTGATCTTACTTCTGTATACCTGAAACAATCCTTTTGGGTTAGTCTTCGATTCTCTTGCAACTTTAACCTCATAATCTCTTTTTGCTTTTCTAATTCCCTTTTTTATTTCTCTCTTTAACTGAATATATCGATTTCTTAATTGCCCCACTCCTCTTTTGATTTGCCTATATATGCCTCTCTTTTGACCAATCAGATATTTTAATCTATTGTTCATCCATTTAGGATCATTTTTGTTTGATCTGATTTCCCTATTTGGAACATGTATTTAAGAACATAAGAATGTAGGAACACTGCAGAAGGCCTACTGGCCCATACGAGGCAGGTCCTCATCAAAACGACATCTACCTAAAGCTACTCATGAAATAACTCCCGTACCCCATGACACCAATCAAACCCAGCCCCTCCCACTCATATATTTGTCCAGTCTCTTCTTAAAGCTACCCAAGGTCCTAGCCTCTATCACCCCACTGGGAAGACTGTTCCACGCATCTACAACTCTGTTAGAAAACCAGTACTTACCTATGTCCTTTCTAAATCTAAATTTAACCAACTTAAAACCATTATTCCTGGTTTCTTACCGGGTTTCCCGACCCCTCAGAAACTTTTATTAACGTCCCCCCTTGTTTTTTCCCCAAAATCCACTTTTACACTTAAATGATATTTTCCCCCCCATTCACCCCTCCCCAAAGAGAGGGAATTTAATGCTTTAAGCTATTTTTCATAGGGGAGGTTTCCTACACTTAAAACTTTTTGGGTCATTCTTCCTGTATGTTCTCAAAATGATCAATGCCCCTCCTGAAAGAAAGGGGGCCCAAAAACTGGGGCAGCATAATTTAAATGAGGCCTCAACTAGTGATGTATAGAGCTGAAAAAATAACTTTTGGATTTCTTTTAAACTCTTACTCTTGGATAAATCCAAGAAAACTGTTGGCCTTTTTGGGCGCACACAAAGGGCACTGCGTCTTTGCTTTAGATTCTGCTTACCAAGACCCCCAAAAGTTTTTTCACTTTCCCTTAAAATGACCAAGCTCAAACTTCCCAAGATTATAGCTTCGGGGGTTTTATTTTCATTCCCAAAGGGCAATTCCCTTACACATCCACTTTAAAATTTCCCATCTGCCTTTTTTCAAAACCAAGACTTTTAATTTAAATTTTGTTCAAATCGCCGGGAAAGTTTCATTGAATCCTCCTCAGAGTAAATTTATACGGCCTAAATTTTTGTATAATCAGCAAACTTACTAAAGTCCCTAGTAACCCCTTCCTCAAGGTCTTTAATGAAAAATTAAGAACAGGAGGGGGCCCAAAAAATGATCCTTGAGGAACGCCACTAGTGACAAAACCCCATTCAAAATTTCACCCCCTTTAAAATGGAAAACTCTCTGTTTTCTTTTGGGAAAACCCATCCTCAATCCATGCTAAATTTTTACCTCCTATCCCATGGCTGCCACTTCTTTTAAAAGTCTCTTGTGAGGTACTCGTCGAAGGTTTTAACTAAAATCCAAAAAAACAAAAAAAATTTTTCCTTATCACTGTAAACTGCCTAAAAAGTTCAAATTGAAGAACGTCAGTAAGTTTTTTTCAGGGCAGGAACAAACCTTTTCGTGAACCCATGCTAAAGTTTCCCATTTTTTCAAGTTATGCCTTCAAGGGAATTCTGATAATGTCACTAAAAATTGATTCTAAAAACTTGCCCACAAATAGATGTCAGGTTTTATTGACGGAATTTTGAAAGGGGATTTATCCCCTGATTTGAAAAAGGAACCACTTTTACCCACCCTTCCCCCAACTCGGGGCCCAACACGGGAAAGGGGATGGACGCTTTAAAAAACATTTCGTTAAGGTTTGAATAAGCTCCATTTTGCATACCTTAAGTACC